TTTGATTGGTTAGGAAATTGAATTTTCGACTCGTTTTTTATCCAAAAAATATTTTCATAATCAGAACAATGAAGTGATAAATCACTTCCAAATGGCTTTAATATTTTCGTTTTTACTAATTCTCTATTATTTAAATTCTGTGATAATTCTACCAAATTTTGCCTCTCATTTAAAATCAAATCATTTCTCATTGGTTTTAAATCATTTGATATCTGCGTTGAATTGCATTCAAACTCATCCAAAGATATTTGAAAAAACTTTTTGTTTTTCAATTTTTGGGGCGAATGACAAGTGGCCTCAAACTCATGTATTCTTGTACTGAATTTCTTTAACCATAAGAGATTACAATTACAAATTAGATTATTATTTTCTATATTAATTCTAATTATATTTATATTATTTATAAATGTTTTTGTAGACAAAAAAGTCAAACGATTATTTTGAAGATATCTATAAAACAAATCAATAGACAGATCAAGAATTATTTTCATTCAAAGAAATGCATTGCAAGTAAACTGACATTTTCTTAAGAGATGGTAAGTCAGTCAAAACCAATTCAGAAATTATTTCAATCTTATTATCATTTAGACTTAAAATCTCTAAATTATGCAAATTCTTGAAACTATTTTTGCCAATTGTCTTGATTTGATTGTTGCTTAAGTTCCTGTAAAATAAAAAGTGTTGAAATAACTTGCAAACAGAAAATACAGAATATATTCACAAGAAATTCAACAACTGATTACAAATATACAAGTCGTGCGAGTCCTGCAAATAACAGATCTTCCAATTCACTGATTTGATTGTTGTTTAGAAAACTAGAATTTAACATTTAATTAAATTAATGCAAACATATAATAGTTCCAACAAGTTAAAGATTAAGCACAAAAGTCATACAGTTTAGTCAATAGTGAGAGGTGTCTGAAAGGACCGGATCGTAAACTTTGAATGCGATTGTGTCTGACGTCCAGAGATGTGGTCTCAGCCGCTATAATCGGCACTCTATCCAAATTTTTGTTCACACATCCGACCGATGTTTCAAAACAATTACATTTCTCAACACAAAATGGCAATGAATTGCCATTAATTAAATGTATTATTTGAAAATATAACAAAACAAAAATAATTATATTCATTTTATGGGAAAACAGAATTAAATAATTTTACATATCGTTCATCGAATACAGACTTTGGTATTAATGTAATTTTTATGTAACTTTATAATTCCCTTATATAAACATCTGATAAACAATTGATTTATTGCTCACAAACTTTATTAATTTAAGAATAATTTTCATTCATTTAAAGATATTTCACAAGTTATTGCAAAACCGATAAATAAAAAAATATTTCACTTGATAATGAATTCAATTTTTATTTAAAATAAAATTTAACGATAAATTGTTAAATTATTGCCCGAATTTAAAAATATACAAAAATATTAAACAATTATTACATCAGTTGTTTAGTGCAATAAATTTAATTCCCATTATATTTAGTGCTATAAAATTTAAAGTTTAAATGAATACTTTCGTGAATAATTTCAAATTTACATTAAATAAAATCATTTTATTATTCAATTTATTCTTATAACTCATTTGAATTTTTACAAATGGAAGACAATTATCACAAAATCTAGAATAATGAGACAAAAAATTAATTAATCAGTGATTAGATTGAAATAAGTTTAAAATACTTTAGTGATAACACCGGCAGCAATGGTCACTCCGGATGTCCTAATCATAAAACGTCCCAAATCTTTATAGTCCTTATGGAGTTCAACGCAAACGGGTCTCTGAACTTCAATCTCGACGACACC